CACACACACACACACACACACACACACACACACACACACACACACACGCCTGCTCAGGCCCCTTCTCCCTCTGTCTTCCGTCAAGATGATAGGGCGCTGGAGAAAAGGCTGCTGGAATCAGCTGGTAGGTACAGTAGTAATCGGAACCCCACCCACCCGCTGCCTTTGCTTGCTCAGGTTTCTCCAGTCACTCCTGCCAGGGGAGAAAACATGTAAGCGCGCCTCCAGAGGAGGAGCTCAGGGAGCTGGGAGTGGCTGGGGCGGCGGAAGGTGAGCCTAGGAAGGTGGCCCAGTGCCCCTTCTGCCCGGGCCCCTCCCAGAGCTCCCTTGGGGTGTCAGTCTGGTCTCCACTTGCCCCCACTCCACCCTCCTTTCGAAGGGATTGCCTTTTTTTTTTTTCCTCTGCGGCGGCGGAAATGACAGTGTGGTGCCGTGGTGGTGTCATGGTGCTGCCTCTGGACTGAGAGGCGAAAACTCTTAACTTTAGCCTGGGAGACCCAGACGCGGGAACGTCGTGGTCGGCGAGCTGTCCCCTGTGGGGTGCGCGGGCTGGCTGGTCCCAGCTGCTGTTGCTGTTGCTGTTGCTGTTGCTGTTGCTGTTGCTGTTGCTGCTGCTGCTGCTGCTGCTGCGCGGCGGCGGCGGCAGCGGCGGCGGCCGCAGTGGCAAAGGCAGGCGGCGGCCTAGAGTGGTGGCGGCGGCAGCGGCTGCTGCAGCGGCAGCGACAGCGGCCCGGGAGCTCTCGCGGAAGCTCAAGCCAGTTTGCTGCGGAGGCCCGGCGCTCCCAGGCGCGCGGAGGAGATGGCTGGCACCCGGGAACAATATGGGTAAATTGCGTCCCCTCCCCGCAGCACGGGGGTTCAAGCGTCGCTGCCAGCGCAGTGCTCAGGCCAGGGGTCCTGCGGCTCTTCAGGTGCCGCGGGAGCCAGCGCTGGCGGAGGACACCCGGGATCGGTGGAAGGGTTGGGAGTAGGGACGGTGGGGGGGGGGGGGGGGGGGGACACGAGATCGGAGAGGCTCTAGGCGGCCGTAGTGGGGACCTGGGTTGTCTGTCACATTGGGGTGACCCAGGATCCTTCCTCTGCCTTCGTGGGGAGTTTGCACTCCTGGATCCCAGCCGGAGGAACGGCTGGAGGCCTCCCGCTTGGCCAGGCCAAGCCGGGAGAAAGCAGTGGAGGAGCTCTTCTGGCGCCTAGGCGCAAGTCTGGGAAAGGGCGCAGCCGCCTTCCCACGCTCCCGCAAGCCAAAGCGTCCTCATCTGCAGCGGTTCACTCGATGGTGCTGGCACAGCATCCTGTGATGGTGCGGACTCGCTGCCTGCGGGAGCCCAGGAGAAACTTAATCCCCCTTTTCCGCTGGGGAAGCTATCTTCAAGTCATTGTCAGAGTGGTTCCTCATTTCTGGCCTAGCTGTGAAAGAAGCACTGTGGGGGAGAGGGAAAACTTGAGTGTGTCCACAGGACACACTACGACTGAAGCAGGAACATGGGAGGGTTTTCCATTTCAGGTCATAAGAATTAAGTAAATAATGGCAGAGCAGATTTGCTGTTGCATTACTGGTGACGAGCTGGCTTAGGTTATTTCTCACTTCACGTGCAGCACAGTATTTATTTGGGAGGCATTTTGATTTAGAGCAGAAAATTAGGTTCCTGGAATGATCAGACTTCTCACTTTTCGCTCTCTCTCTTCTGCGCTCCTTATGCACTGTCACTATTTATGCTTCCTATCCCCGCCTTACATTTGCCCACCCAGATCTTTCACCACAGTCCCTGCACCCTCAGCTTTTCTCTATCAACCCGTGCATACCCAGCAACACAGTTTCTTGTTTTTCAATCACTTTGCTTTTTTTTTTTTTTGTGTGTGTGTGTGTGTGTGTGTGTGTGTGTGTGTGTGTGTGTGTGTGAAGATTTTGGAGGATGAGGCTGGTGAATGGCATCAGTTGTGCGTTTCTGAGGGGTATTTATGAAGGAAGAGATTGAACCCTGGAACAGTAGACAAATATTGTGTGGGGATTAATTAATCTGGTTCTCAATTTGGACCAATAAAAGCTGACTTTAATCCTATTACATTTCCTCTCCCAAATCAACTCACTTTTCTGACAGTACTCCAATAGAAGATGGGGTTGCCAAATAGAGAATTCACATTCCTCACTTCTGCTCATCACTGCCCTGAGGGAGAATCAATCTTCGCTATTTTTATATATTCCTGCTCAATCAATTAGCTTAATACAGACTCCTAATGTGAATTAGATTTCTCTTGATTGTTCCTTACAAAACTTGATTCATGTGGGTTAAAATACAAGTCTAGAAGCCAAGAAGATCAGAGAATCCATTTCAGATGTGATGCTGCATTGGCTTTATGGCCTTTAGACATTTGAATGACCTTTCTTTCACAGTTGCTGCACAGGCATAAAGGCATAATATTGTGTACTGGGTATTGTGAGTATTGACTTCGTCCTTTGAAGATAAAAGGATTATACTTTTCAATGAAAGCACTATCATTTATTCTTTATTGGGTTCCTGGATGGGCTGGGTATAAATGAAAACACCAATCTACAGATACCTTAATTTGTCACTATTAGTACACTTGGGATTCAAATTATTATTGTAATTTGGATCTTAAGTCAATTTGTTTTACAAATGAATGTGTAACTGAATGAAATATATATAGAATTAAGCATAGAAAGTAATTGTGATGATTTTAAGTCAAGTCATGAATAATATTGATTACACTTTACCCTAATAATCTGAGTCAAACTCATTTGCATACTCAACCTGACCCATTTTTAGCCTACATGGAGACAGTTAGAGAATGCCCAATAAAAAGTGGCATAGATAAGTTTAGGTCTGGCTATACAAGCATGATTAGCATCTAGAAGCAATGAGTCAAATATGAGCTCATATTTGTCCTATGCTGAGATCTACTTACAGCTACATGGCTAGGATGAGTTCAGTGTGTGATGTGTGGAGTAGAGAAAGAGGTTGTAGGACATGACTACTAGGATTCCTACCTAGCATGTTGTACCTTGCAAGACCACTTCTGATAAGCATTTGCTGCAAATGAGTGATTTGATTGCTTCACAAACATATCATCTGAACAGTGCAAATTGACTTAGATAAAATTGGTTTGGTTAATCCCTCCTCTAAGAACAGGGCAACTTGCTCCAACATGCAGGTCTCAAAATAGTGCCAGTGGAGCCTCATAATTGCGTCCAAGTAGTGTTCTGAGTAGTGAACCTTTCCATTCTCTCCTCCCATAAAATCTGCTGACAGCACAACAATTAAGAAAGAAACTACAGAATAATGCTTTTTTAATCACTCAGCAAACCTCATTGACTTGATGAAGAGAAAAGAATACTGTCTCTGGTTGTTAGGTCCCTTAGAACTAAATTATTCTCTTTCTCAACAGGAATGTAGAACCCTGAAAGACAAAAACAGGGATGAGGCATAACAATGTCTCAGGTGGCTGTTTTTAGAGATAACTGCTTGGCTGTGTGTGTCTGTCATTCAATGTCTATAGATCTTGCTAAATTTCTAGATGTTAGCAGCTACTAAAAGAGGCCCTGAAGGTGTTCCAACTCCTTTTAGTACTGGATTTTTGTTCTGCCTTCTGTGGAAAAGAAAGCTTTGTGTCTCTGAAGTGCCTCCTTATGCTGAGTGACCTGACTTGAAACAGTGAATCATCAAAATATGAGGTGTAACGTGTTCAAAATAGATATAACATGGTTCAAGAAGTTTGAAAGACAGTCACTTACTTTATTACATTTGTTTATTTATGTGCATGTGTGTGCATATGAACATGCATGTATGGCAGAGCATACATGTGGAGGCTAGAGGAAAACTTGTGGAAATCAGTCTCTCCTTCCACTGCATGTGTTCCATGGATCAAATTCAGGCCATCAGTCTTGGTGGCCAGCACTTTTACTTGCGGGCCATCTCGCTGTCCCTAAATACAGTCACTTTTTGAATTTTGGTTCAAAGTCTGAATTGTGCTAATGGTCTCTGTTTCTGGATCTTCAACAAATACTGTGTTCATCATGAGCAGTACACCGAGGAGGCTTGAGAAGTGCTCCTCTGTGTGTTGATTCATAGCATCAAGTTAGAAGTTCAGGTAAGTGATGGCAAGAGAAGAAAATCTTAATTTATTGTCTGTCCTGTGCAGACCATTACTCCCCTTTACCCTCACTTCTCACCTTCTAGGGTCAATATATGTGCCTCTATCCTACTGAAAATTTTCTGTGGGCTGTAGAAGTCTGTGTTTGGTGGCTTTTTCTGTGTGCTGCTTTTTAATCTTTTTATTCTTCATGACCACAATCACATAACATTTTTGATAGTCAAATTTCCAGCCCTTGTATTTTTCCCTAAAAAGCCTATAAACTGTCGTGAATACTAGATGGTGTAAAATGCTTCAAGTAAACATGGCATAGAGATTTTGAAAAAAAAAAAAACAAAAAAACTAAAAGTGACAACATCCCACTATCAATTTCTCCGTGGGATATTTCTCTGAATAGAATATACACCAAGATGTTGGCTCAGTGTAAATGGGTTAAAAAAGTGTGGGTTCCTGCTTCTTCACAGCACTCTGCTGGCCTGACCTTGGGCTTTGTCCCAGCCTCTTTCTGCAGGTCAGACTCCTTTGGCTGACATGAACAGTATCTTCTGGCTCTGGAGCATCCTCTTACAGAGACCAGATGATCTGATAGCAAACCTATTATATAATGAAAATTCCTCCTGAAATCTTAAATGCCAATATTTGCAATTTGCTCTTATAGGAACATAATGTGTAGGCATGGAAGACAATGCTAACTTAGGAGAGCAAAATGTGTGTGTGTGTGTGTGTGTGTGTGTGTGTGTGTGTGTGTGTGTGTATACAATACAGAGATAGAAAAAAATGGGTTATAGTCTAGAATTCTCTACCACTTTGTTTATAGCCTTTTGTTCAGTGTTGCTAGGATCCATGTGGTTCCCTGGAGAGTAGAAGCTTTATTTCAAATAGGTCTCTGTTTTCTGTCCCTTGTTACTGACCAGAACTTGGGGTCCTCACAGCCTAACATTCAGTAGAATGTCCTACATACATATATTACAAGTTTTATTATGACTGCCATCCTGGCAGGCCACTAAATACTTTAAAAACCACTGAATATTTAAAAATACATCATTGAAAAACAGAGGATTGGAAATTCAGTCTTAAAATAGATGAAAATCTGTAATAGTAACATAGGTAAATCAGTTTGTTCTTCATTTGTTCCTCAGACTGACAACTGTGCCAGTGTAATCTGCATTATGATAGATAATAGTGTTATAAATCATTCTTATATTTTTGTCAAACATTATAAGTTACCTCAGCAAATCCATTTCTTGGTTACTTTGATTAATCATTTTTAAATAATATTTTTGTCCTTTGAAAATTTCATACATTTATACAATGTACTTTGATCATATTTGATTAATCTTTTGTATTTGAGGCAGATTAGAACTTCTGGTTTTGCTATTGACATTCGTTTAAATATTTTGATGACTACACTGAGTACAAAATACAGTGGTAGGTTTACGAGCTAATTATTGGAAGGGAATAACATGAATTCATGTACTATAAAATACTATGTAGAATTAAATGCCTATTAGGCAGGAACTGGATCAGGTTCTCTGTACTGCTTAACAGTCATCCTTCAGATCTGAGCTCCCTCAATGTGTGATGGAAGCCTAAAAGAAAACACTGGAGAGATTTCTTCCCTCAGAAGGACCATGACCTAAGTGGGAGGACATATGAACATCAGGAACACCACAATTAAAACCATGATTTTCCTGGGATTTTGTGGAAAAGTATGA